AAACGTTACGAAGAAATTAATAAAAGCGTTTTATGTGGCAATAATGTAGTGAGTCGATTTGAGTATCAGACTTTATTATATGAATTGCAAAACAGCCTCGAGGCCTTTTAAACGCAGTGTGCCTGTACCGATTTCAAATGCTACAAGTTCTCACGGTTATAAACCCTTTTTAGATTCAGACATTCTTCTTACGTTACCACATCTTCGTATGTCTTTATATTTGTAGAAAGTGGTTCGCGTTGAAGAGCCTTTTTCAGCGCACGCACACGTCGTTGCATATTCTAATATCTTCGTCAACCCAGATCTCCTTGCCGTCGAGCTTTTCGGCCTAATTGGCGCGCCTCGGGGGTTGACGGCACGACCGTCGCTTTTTCGTGAGCCGAAGCGCGCCGGTGGTGGTCCACGAAGACGTCAAGCTGGCCATTGACATTAATGGCTAATATTGTAAATTATGCATCGACAACTGCAATTTTTTTGCTTTTATTATTGTCGTGACGACTTCATCGGGCGGGTCGCGCTCTCATGCAGATCGACTTTCCCTTCAAAATAAGTTTTCACATGTGAACCAGAAACTTTTAAATTTCAAATCTAGAAGTCTCGATGTCTTTCTTGTCTTGATCATGATCTTGAAATCCTGAAATCTTAAAATCTTGAAAGCTTGAAATCCTCGTTGAAATCTTTAATCTGGAAATCTTGAAATTTTGAAATCTTGAAATCGCGAAATCTTGAAATTCTGAAATCCTGAAATATTAAAATGCTGAAATCTTGAAAACCTGCAATCTTTAATTTAAAACTCTTTAAATTTTCAATTCCTGAAATCTTGAAAGCTTGAAATCCTCGTTGAAATCTTGAAATCTTGAAAACCTGCAATCTTTAATTTAAAACTCTTTAAATTTTCAATTCCTGAAATCTTGAAAGCTTGAAATCCTCGTTGAAATCTTGAAATCTTGAAAACCTGCAATCTTTAATTTAAAACTCTTTAAATTTTCAATTCCTGAAATCTTGAAAGCTTGAAATCCTCGTTGAAATCTTGAAATCTTGAAAACCTGCAATCTTTAATTTAAAACTCTTTAAATTTTCAATTCCTGAAATCTTGAAAGCTTGAAATCCTCGTTGAAATCTTGAAATCTTGAAAACCTGCAATCTTTAATTTAAAACTCTTTAAATTTTCAATTCCTGAAATCTTGAAAGCTTGAAATCCTCGTTGAAATCTTGAAATCTTGAAAACCTGCAATCTTTAATTTAAAACTCTTTAAATTTTCAATTCCTGAAATCTTGAAAGCTTGAAATCCTCGTTGAAATCTTGAAATC